CAAAACACAGGACGAACACAAGAGATCAGCCATCACCAGGTCATCAGATACTGTATGAAGTGCCATATTTACAGGTCCACACATTTTTACAGGGAAAATCCAACACAAGGGTGAGAAGAAACTCTGTATCCATGCTTGAACTGTCATGTCAATACAGATATGGGTTGATACAATAAACATAGTCCAGCAAAATGATAATGGGTCATTGACATGACATGCGTATTTTTGTGTCCAAGTGTATTATTTCTTTTTAAAATAATTTGATAACTTCATGACATGTATCACTTTATTAAAAACACTTAGTTTGAATATATTTTCAGAACATTCAAATAATAAATAGGCCTATTATTTTATTTTATGTTTTGGTATCTTAAACCTCAACCTTTTGTAAAAAAGTAATTACAGTAAGCATGATAATGCATTATCCAGAAGATCCCAATCGATCTTTGTGGCTGAGGGAAAAGACTGTAGATCTCTCTCAGGTCCTGTTTACACCTGCTATTAAGATGCATTTTGGTCAATCAGATCACAAGCGGACGACGCTAAACACAGGGGGGTCTAAAAAGTTTTGAGCTTGTCCACTTTTGACCACTTCCAGAGGTAGTCGAAAATGCATTTGTAGTGTTAACACTCATGCTGTCGAATGCGTTTAAAAAGCTGCAAAAGCTCGCCTACTCTCTGCCAACTGGTTTAATGTGTAAACATTAAGGGAAGCACGCTAGCCAGACAGGATTTAAGGAAAAGCTTACCAAACACAATGTTCTCTCACCATTTTTGATTCTAACAGTCACTTCAGCGCGGTCTTGCGGCTATCAGAGCAGAAACGAAAGCTGCTGCTCTCCATGTTTTTCCGTTGTCTCCGGGTGCGTTTACTGTATATGTAAATCGTGCAAGCTTATTTCGTCTATTGAAAGATCTAAAAAAACACATACATTTACACATAGACCCCTGATAAAAAAAAAATCAGGACAGAAGTGGTTTAAAGTGGACAAAAGACATGGGATTAAAATAACAGGTGTAAACAAGTATGTGTCTCCCTCGTTAACTTGTGATCCAATCGACCAAAACGCATCTTAATACAGGGCATAAGTTGCAACAGGTGATATAACCGTAATGAATGTCCATTTATGAAATAAAAATAATTAAAAAAACACATTATTTAAGCTAAATAAACAATACATTTAAGCTAGGATTCTCTAATTATTCTTTTTTAATTGTTCAAAAATTTTAGTTTTAAGTTACAATTGTTACACTTCGAAGTATTTTCATGACAATCATTTTTTTTTAATATCATTTTAAAGAAAAAACGGTCACATTTTATATTAGGTGTCTTTAACTACTATTTACTTACATCAAAAATTGTTAGGTATGATGTTGTTCATTATTTTGCAAAATAATTGTGCTGCTATTGAGGTGGGATATGGGTAAGATTACGGACAGGTTTGCTTGCATGGGTCGGTTTAAAGGGGGGTTAAGGGGTAAGGGAAGGCTCAACAGTTGTAGATGTCACCACAGAAATTAATTACAGATGTAATATGCAGGTATTTTAAAAAAATAGGTACAATGTAAAATCATGCATGTACACAATCAGTACATTCTATCATATGATTCATCTAAATGTTAGTATATAGTAGTTAAAAGTGTAGTTATACACTTAAAGTGGGACTTGCAAATGTCTTCCATTTCTTGTAAAAAGAAAAGAGATGAATCTTGTTTAGTAGTTATTATATAGTGTCCCATTCAAGCTGCTATGCATTTAACGTTTTAAACATCTCGATTAATGCATTTTTTATGCTGTAAACTTAATGCAAACTTAAGCTGATGATTATTTTTGTATCAATTTAAAACGACTTTATTAAATCACAATTGATTACGGTTTATCTACCCAATCTTTTGCATTGTAGCCTATTCCAGTAACTATGTTCCGAATATGGTCATGATTTATTCTGTTTTTGATCAGTTTACTACTTTTACTTTTACCTTTGTTGACACAGTAACAAAGAACAATAGAAACAAAGCAGAGGCTTGTTCCATAAAATACGCTAAGAAAATTGGGGATTACAGTCCAAAACATGACTTGAATTAAATTAACAAATCAGTCGGAGCTGAACGGGTTCCATAAGAGAAATTTATGTTCACGCAATACCACTTATTTGACCCTGGTTCATTTGATATGCACACTATTCTTAAGCAGCTCTATAGCTCCACTATAGAAAATAGCATAATTTGTGCGGTGTTGCTTGTTGCTTTCCTCAGAGCATAATGTACATTTCACAGGTATATTCTCCATCTGTATATGTTAGAAAGTCATGCAAATATTTCCATTTCGCTGTCATGATTGGACGAGGCTTAGGTAAGCAAGCCTCCACAAAACTTCTCAGTGAACGAGCGCTGCTGCGCACCAAACGGAGCGCAATAGAACAGGAGCTAAATAATTTTGACGAAAATATACAGTTTTCTCTTAAAATATTTGTTGTTGGAAATCAAATGCGCCTTATGTAGAACTTTAAACCTAATCGTAAGTGTATTTTTAAGATGGCAGTAACTGTTAAGGGACTACTGTAATGGGGTAAATCCAATATAGGCCTAATTATTACCTCAGATGCATGTTCCTCTTACCAGTTAAAATTGAGTCTGTAAATTTTATTTTCATTTTTAATTGAGTGATTTTAACATCTGCTTTAAAATGTTTTTTTTTTTTTTTTATTAAAAAGTTCTAATGGGCGGCGGCATGGTGGATCGGAGGGTATAGCAAGGAAATCACCGATTATAGAGCCAAGGCTGAGAAAGAGAAAGAGAAAGAGAGGGAGAGGGTGTTCAAATGTCCTATTAACCATAAAAGGAACTATAGGTGCCATAAACAAAACCAAAATGAAATGTATTCATATATTTTAATTTATCATTGGGCACTATACATTCAAACAGTCATTAAGAAAAGAAAACCTGTAAGTTTTTACTCTGTAGGTGGTCACTCTGGCAACTTTGCTTTATGGAACCAAATCAACTAACAATGAGTCAGACTAACAAAAAAAGTAAAAAGTATAAAGGTATAAGAATAATACTTGATATTACACAATATAATTGAACATGGTTTTAGATCTATATTGTATGATTTATAATTGTAGTCTAGCCAATACATGTGATTTATTATTTACGTTGATTTTCTGTATAGTATATATTCATTTTTAGACTGATAGTGGTTAATGAAGTCAAATAATGGTATGCCAGAGAGTCAGTGGTAATTGTGTTCCTGTCAGTCAGTGATATAGGAACTCTGCAACAACTTAGGCTTAGCCTGACAGTTAGCCTGTCCTTGACCAGGTTAGTTTACCAGCATAAGATCCCAGTGTGACTGAGCTTGAGCTATGTTCAGTTTGCTTTATGGAACCAAATCAACTGATAATGAGTTAGACCAGTGTTTCCCTACGCTGTTCCTGGCGGCACACCAACACTGCGCATATTCTTTTGCTGCGTCCCAATTCGCTTACTTATACGCCCTAAAAGTATGTACTCTTTTTGTGAGAAAAAAGTACATACTTTTGAGTGTGTAGCAAAAGAGTAGGCAAGCTTTGGGACATACTATCACGTCATCTTTAACGGACAGCTCTGTCGCGTGCTGCGTGCATCCTGTCACCGTAAACTGTAGTTTTTTAACACTTTTTACTCGTGTTTGTAGTTCTAACCGAATCCTCGTCCAACACGCAATGGTTTGTGGGCAATATCAGCCGTTAGAGTGTGCATCAATCTACACTTTGGATTCTGACCGGAAAAAGTAGACCATGCGAGACTCTTTGAAACACTCATTTCAACATACTACGATTTGGGACGCGCTAATTCTATTTTCGAATACTATTTAGGACGGATAGTATGCGAATTGGGACGCAGCACTAGTCTCCCTTATCAAACACACCTGATTCAACTCATCAGCTCATAATCAGATGGGTTAATGAGCTGATGAGTTGAATCAGGTGTGTTTGATTAGGGAGACAAAGAATACGTGCAGTGTTGGACCGTTACTCAATATGCCTTCTTGTCTGTACTTGTGTTCTTGTGGACATGTGAAACGTCATCAGTCGTGGCCCAAGTACTGTCCCAATACACAAGTTTGCATTTAGGCAAGAATGGTTAAAAATCCCGGATGTGTTCTTGACACTCCCATTTTACCGAGGATGCATCGTTCGGTAACTTGTGTGAACTTGACGGCAGAAATATCCCATAATTCATTTCGGCATTCGCGGAAGGAGCGGGAAGCAGAGAGAGGCAGGTCAAAAGTTACCTGAATATTACCGGCGTTTTTTCCCGCCGTTGGCTAGTGATGTACACAAACAAGCAACAGAAGTAGAATTAAAATGAGACAGGTGTTGCTTTATTGTTATGACTATACATTACATTGTAGTGCATGTAGAGCAATCCCTTAGGCTTGGGCGATAATGCCTGGCTGTATAATAATTCTCGTTATGTTTGGGCACTGCAGACGGTGTCTGTGCAGGTACTATTGCACAATACCAGCAAGAAGAACACATCGTCTCAAACTGTCAGCAGCGTTCTGTATGCTCGTCATCTCGTGAGTCTGTTCTTTGCATTCTTGGATTAGAGAAACAGCCTTGGTATGCCAACAGGAGCAGGGTTGGGAAACACTGACTTAAATTACCGGAAAAAAATCATGGCTTATTTGATAAACTTGTTTTATGGAACAAGCCTCCGGACATACAATGCGACAAGGTGCACCGCAGGCAAAGTCGTCTAGAGATTTTACGAGAAATATATCTTTATATAATTTATTTATAAAACATATTCCTTTAAACTCATCTGATGTCAAATCATAATTCAACAGACTTGAACACAGTTGAAAGTTGAACAGTCTGCCATTAGTTTGACTGAAATGCCAGAATGTCCAATACAACATAGAAATCAATAAGACTTCCCATTTGCTGTACTATGTTTGGATGGTAGAATAGAACCCAGGAGATGTGAGTGATTGGGACACTTGATCCACTCACCTTTGAAGAGGGGACATATTTTAGCCAGAGCATGGACCGGCCCCAGATGAGTGTACTGCCCAACAGTGAACTCCATGAAAAGCAGTGGGATACCACAGAGAAACAACATGATGAAGTAGGGAATCAAGAAAGCACCTGGAACGTGTGAAAGATTGAAAAACAAAACATGAGACAAAATAATGAATAAGTAATTAAAATAAATGAATGATTAAATATTTAATAAATATTTTGTTATTCTTCAATGGTCACAAATGTTTTCTTTTTGTTTTCTTCTTAATGTTCAAATAGTCCTGTAATTATATTTTCCACCACTTAATTTGTCTTTTTTCCACATCATTCTGTGAGGTTAAGTCTATTTTCTTGCAACTCATGTTAATGCAAATTGGGAGGGAAAGATGGTTTTTTGACATGCTCCGTAGATGAAAAGACCATAAATGTATTCCCTCTGATTTAAAAATAATAATAATTTGGAAATTGGACATTTTTAGATGGAAAAAAAAAAAATCAAGAATCTGAGGTTGTGAATGGTCTATGACAACACAGGTGAAAAAAGCAAACAATCATCTGGACAATATGGATGTTCGCTAAAATAACTATATGGTTCTATACAAACAGGAGGCAGGATTATCTGCTGTGAACTTTGTGACAGCAGCTGACCTATATAACTTATAGGTTTTTATTTATCCTATAATATCACAGATCACAGAAATTGAGTTTTATTGATTGTCATTCTTGGGACAGTATATTGCGTTTTATTTTTTAACAATGATTTTTTTTATTGTTACAATAATTTTTAGAATGATTTGAAAAGCAACATAGACTGGCGTGAGAAAACAAGATATCCAATGTTACACAATCCTGTCCTGGATCTACAGTTACATCTTATAGTTACACAACAGACACAAAATTAACTTCTAATAAATAATTTAAACACTGATAAAATAAACAGAATGGCCATAAAAATGTAGTTTGCAAACATGTGCCAAATGTAATCTTTTGTATTTACGCAAGTCCTGAATATTTTTGTTATACAGTTAACAAAGATTTGGATTTTTTTTACTCTAAAGAAGGTGATAGAGCCAAAAAAGTATTTTTTTTTTATTTACTCCAAAAAGAGTAAAAAAGTATTAAAATGCTTTCATTACAACATAAGTGTACACAGCTTGAATGTATGTTAAAAAAAATTGCCTATCAAGAAATTTCCAAAGCTTTACTCTATTTGACCTGAACACAAAACACAAAAGAGCCTTTTCCCTAAAAGGTCAGTTATGTGATATATATATGTAATTTATGACCTTGAATTGGCATAGGTTACAAAAGGGGTCCTCTTGTGATATGTGGTTTGTCACATGACAACAAAATGCAAAATGGCTTCCTGCATGTTTACAATGTGCTACAATGTGTTGACTTTTGATACTTATATTTTGCATAAAAAGGCCACAATGTTTTCCTTTAATATATTTTTTATTCTCAGTCATATAATTTGTCATCTCTGGACACTCAAAATGCCCGTATAGCAATTATTAACTGTAATACATAATTCATCTTTTGAGGAAAACTATGTTTACCATGGCGATGAGCATATCGGAATGGCTACAGACTCTGGTGATTCATCATGAGAGAAGAGTAGGAGTCTCGTCACTCACCTCCTCCGCTCCTGTAGCATAGGTACGGGAAGCGCCACACGTTCCCCAGACCCACCGCATAACCGATGGAGGCGAGCACGAACTCCAGACGTCGACCCCAAGTTTCTCTAGGTTCCGTTATCTGGTGTTCAGTCTTTGCCAGCCTCATGGCCTCATCTACCTCCTCTTTTCCCTCTCCAAGCTGCTGCAATGCATACTTACTAGACAAGGTCGTAGTCTTGTTATCAGTTCCAACTCCCATCATTACAAACGTTTAGCAGTACAGCGCAAAAAAGGTATTATTATTAGTGCTTAAAATATAAATATTAGCGCATTAGAAATAGTGCTTTTTAATATGGACAAATAAGGATGCATCAGCACTTCAAAATGAATTAGCTTGACACTGTTGCTCTTTGCCGGTATCAAATGTCACTATCACCGCTCTGTATTACAAGATAGGTGGTCAGCATTTGGCTAACTAAATCTACCCCTATAAAAAAAAACGAGTTATCGCACCATCTTTTAACTGTTCCGAATACATAATATGCACAAGTGGTCACCTGCTTATATAGCTCAGTTACACAATGTTTTAAGACCAGCCCCCTAAAGTATAGTTTCGGAAAATTCGCATGTTACATAGCTGTCTTCCTTCGGCTCCGCCCATTGAGTAACGTCAGTCGCCTACGAATGCGCGCTCTCGCTGTCATTGGTCACGGTCAGAGCCATCACGGTGCGTAACCATAGATATCTATGGGTGTGTAACGGCCACTTTTTGTTTTATGATGGTGTTATGGCAATCTGAGTTAAAAATTAGAAGTGCGCATGTGCGTAGAATGTCAGTTAGAGCTGCAGGAGTTGTGAGGAGAGGAGATAACTAAGCGCTCTGTCGACTCTCATTGTATTTTTTCTTTTTGTGACCAGAGTTGGATGTTTGTGACTTTGTGTATTTAATTTTCTCGCTCGATCCCCATGAATGGGGACGAGCGTGACGTTTGAGAGGTTTTATTAAACGCGGGGAAAATATGACAATCGTCTCTCCTGCATATTTTCAGCTGGATACTTCTCACATCTCTCAACTTTCCGTTTCAACCGGCGACCTTAAAATCGAGTCAAATAACCAGCATGCACGTGTAGTGTTTTTTTTTTACTTCGTGCGCAATTAATGTAACATATTCCCGAATTGAAACATTAGCTATACTGATTGTGAAAAAGCTTTTAAACCTGATAACGTTTGATTAATCAATGTTGAGAAGGGTTTGGTAATACTGTAGACTAGCACATTCCAATTTTTAGGATTTAAATTGACCATAGACCAGTAGCCTATGTAAGTAATTTAATTCAAATTCAGTATGAACAAAGTTTACATGTAACATCTTCCCTTTCACTTATCGAGTAAAGGCATTCTATCCATAGTATATAAAGGCTAGATGTGTTACGGCGGAGTTTCCATCGTCATCACCGGCGGCCATCTTGTCACAGACAAGCTGATGTAAGATGAGTGGTCAGCACGAACACAAATACTCTTATCTCGTTGAAATCTTGACGGATTTACAAACGGTTTGGTTTCTTACAAACGTTATTAACGTGGCTATAATTATCTGGATGATTATTTATTTATACACTTTTTATTCATAAGTATGCAGTGTCATAACTACATCTCTGACGTTTATAACAAAACAAACCGTTTGAAAATCGGTATAAAATTGAGCAAGTTATGGTCATTTAAATAGTACATGTACCATTAACACAGTGCTACGAGTGAGCGAGATACCTGTGACAAGATGGCCGCCAGGTGCAGACGTCGACCTCCATTGGCCAGCAGCGTGGACGACACATCTAGCCTGCCCTTCATATCTATGATTCTATCCACCTTTTTCTGCGACCGTTCTATTTCTCATGATTCATAGCGGGTTCAACTGACTGGACGGTTTTCTACTTCCTACTATGTATCTTAATTTCAATCAATGTTTCATCAACCAATTGCCTAGTTTTAATAAATAAGAAGTATATAGTAAACAATAGATGATCATGACGGAGGCGACAGCGCGCAGACTGGACTTTGGTCTCATGAATGAAACTCGGCGTAACGTTATGCCTAAACCTCACAGGTCTGAGAAATATATAGACTATGCATCTTTGAAAGCAAAGGTAGACAGGAGTCAATGACTAACCAGCCTAACCTAATAGTACTGTTATTCTGCAGCAGTCGGGGTGATAGAGACTGTCGGATGTTTGTTGGATTAGGGAGATCGTGCAGGCATGCATCAGCTATCCTTTTGAAGTTATGAAGCAAAGAAAAACGTTCATTTTGTTTTTATCTGTGATTTAATAAAAAATAACGTGATCAGATCACAATGTTGTTTTTTTTCGATTTAGTTTAGCGATGTGGGGATGACACAATCTAAAACACATATGGCAAAAAAGCATGGACCAGACTCGAGCCGGAAGTTGACAACCGGCATCGTCGTCATGGCAGCGCGCATTGTTTAAAGCAGAAAAAGGTGGAATGTATTGCAGACTCATCATGAGTTGCAGATAAGGGAAGGGAAGGGAGGGGCGATCGCTACCACCTATGGTTACCACCCATGGGAAAAGGCGAGATCAGAACTTGCAGGCGTTATAGACCATTTCAAAAGATGTAAACAACACTGGTCCAGAAGCACTTCCTGTTTCAGTTTTTTAACACTACATAAAAGCTGGGATAAAATAAAACCAACAGAACATTTAAAATTGAATCAAAAAGTTAAACAAACATCTTTAAGATGTTTTCTTTACATGTGAAATAAAGAAAACAGCTACAAACTGAAACAGGAAGTGTTTCTGGACCAGTGTTGTTTACATCTTTTGAAATGGTCTATATGGGGTGCTTCTTATTTCTCATTTCATTTGTGAATCCTCGTTTCCTTTCCTTGCTTCCTTTCCTTGCGCCTCAGCTCCACCCCCTGTAGGACGCAAGGGAAGGAAGCGAGGAAAGGAAAGGAGGACAGAGGAATCGAATAAAAGCTTTTTTATATACATTGGAATACTTGATCACTGGTGTCACTCCACAGTGTCATCAGCAGCGCTAAAAGGATCTGCCCTTATGTTGTTGAAGTTTGGTTATTTAATAAATTCATAATAAATAATAATAGAGATAGGCTATACTGTTGAAATATCTGAGATGTGTGGTTTATATAAACTGCAAAGAGCGAGGAGCGATATTGAGAAGCACCCATGCCCTGCATAACTTAAGTACCTGGCATTTGCTGCGTGCTTCTGTCTGTCTAGCCAGACTTGTGCAATAGGCTATGCACGATCGCTTCCATGTTTTGTCTTAGCCCGCCCAGTTACATCCGGTGCTGCATCGGAAGCCGTTTTTGCATTAGGTGAAGATAATGGCAAATTACACTCACTGATTACAAGAACTTCAAGCGGTTAACGTGAATGATGATAACAATATTGTGAGGCAGTAGCAGTCACTCATAAGAGCAAGAAAGAGAAAGGCATTAAATTATGTATTTCGAGCTACATCGACAACTTTGAGAGTGAGTAATCTTTCATGAAAGAGAACTCATACAGGTTCGGAACAACTTGAGGGTGTGTAAATTATGATTTTTATTTTTTTATTTTGGGTGAACTATCCCTTTAAAAACAATGTGTGGGGATCATTGAAGGCAACAATAGTGTCAACAAGCATGCCAACAAGCAAGCAAATCCATTATGTGTCCCAGACCACGACTCACAGGGTACAGACTCAGTGGGTATAGGTGTAAATCGGACAGTTTAAAGGGTAACTAAACCCCTGGTCAGAGCCTGACTCCACCCACTAACAATATTTGAAAAATGCTGAAAAAATGGGCAGACCCCAGCAGGGCTAGGGGGCGTGCACCTGAGACCCGCCGTGAGTGACAGCTCCTGTCAGACTCTAAAATAGAGCGAGACTGGTCTGGAGTGACTCAAGTAGCTGCCTTTGCAACAGAGCGGCCATTTGAAGTCGAGGACTTTTCTCCCTCACCTTCACCTGAAGTGGATGAGGGTGAATTGTATACATACACAGGGCCAAATCCATTCGAGCTGCTGGCTCAAACTGCGGTCTTAACTCCCGCATCGCGACCGGCATCTGATGAGTTATGTCGTCGAGTTGATCTCAATAGTGCACGCTGGCATATATTCATATTGATATTATGCCGCTATATGAAAAAATCCAGCAAAATGCACCGGCTCGTTTGTCGACCCCAGAGGATTAACTTTATCCTAACCATAAATTGTGATTAAAATATCCATGATCACTCACATCAAGACGCCGCTGCGGTGGAGGAGTCCATGCAGGACGAGCAGTGTTTGCCACTGCGTGTGGAGAAGCCCATGTCCACCTCTATTCCGTTACTATCCTGATCACTGTACTAAACACTGATAAATCTATGCTAACTTGAAGCTATCCTAACTGTACTATGCTACTAGCTACACAAAATAATCTAAATTATCTATATAATGCTATGCTAAATAGATGCAACAATACTCTATCCTGGTCGTTTTCAAAAATAATCTAACTATATAAATGCTATGCTAACTAGATGCTATTATATGCTATCCTGATCGTTTTCAATACTCATAAATCCAACTCCTGACTCGCTACAGTAGTTTTGACGGAACCAGATGCTTTTATACCAGGGGCTGCCAAGGGCGTGGTGAGCTCGCACCAAGGGTGTGACAGAGTGCGTCTGAGAGTTCGCTACGTCAGAAAGTACCCCTACTGCAGGAGCTTTCCGTTTAACCTGAAGAGGGCAGCACTCAGACGTTTTTACACCATATATTTGAAAATCAAAACACTTTATACTCAATTGTCAAAAAATGTACTCGAATCAATGAACAGCATTTATGAAGCTCCATTCTTACAGATCATTAACTAAAAAAAGTTGTTTTGGTGTTTAGTTACCCTTTAAGTATTAAATGTTTAATTTTTTTTTTTAGCAAAAGCAGATAACTCCAACAGTCATTTTTTTGTTGTTGTTGTTTGTGATCTGTGATCTGTCAGTGATCTCTACGATCAGCTCATGATGCTTTTGAAAAATTAAGCCCATACCAGGCTGTTTTCAGGCCTTTCAAGCTGTGTGTAAACAAAGCAACAGCATAATTGCAATTATCACTATTACATTGCTGCAAGCTACTGCATTGAGTGCTTTATTATTAGAGGTCATCATTAGCTGGCTTGGTTGTTAACTGTTCATGCCAAAAATAGGGTAGGATCTGAAACTCTATGATTGAAGTTCTGATTATGTGGGCATTGTGCCTGCTTAAATCTTGGCAGTGAAATGAAAAATATACTGCTCAACTTTTGTATAGATGTGAATACATGTGTGCAACAGGCCTCAGCGTGTAGATAAGCACATCTTAAGGTATGTAGTACATATTTATCGTGACATGAACAATCCAGTTTCTCATACCTTTGGGATGGTCTAAGTCTTAAAGGGTTAGTTCACCCAAAAATGAAAATCCTGTCAGTATTTACTCCCCCTCATGATGTTCCAACCCTGTAAGATTTCGTTCATCTTCAGAACACAAATTAAGATATTTTTGATTAAATCTGAGAGCTGTCTCACTCCTCCATAGGCTTCTTAAGGACTGGCCAGCCCAAAAGTTAAGATTTTTGTTTGTTTTTTTGCACACAAAAAGTATTCTCTTCACTTGATAAACTTAAGATTGAGCCACTGTAGTCACTCAG